GCAGCCACACAGATGCGGCACGCTGGGGTGGGGGCGCAGGCGTGGCCCCTCTCCCTTGCTTTTTCCACACTCTGGTCACGCAGCCAAGAGCCGGGACTCTTTTCGCTTGCAATGATGACCCTTGCAAATAGCATTCATGGTGGAACATCCATCCACTCAGCATCAGACCAGATAGGAACCCTGAGAGTTTGTGCCCTGTGAACCGCCTCTTCCCCTCCCTGCGCCCCCTTCCCACTCCCAGATATGTACCTTTGACTTCTGGGGAAGGGTCGAGGTCAGTAAGCAGGAGGCACTTGCTTGGCTACTTCCGGGATCCTGACGTAGAAATACTGAGAAAGCCAAAGCTCTTAGAGCACGGGGATTCTTCAGGTGTGGAGAGGACGGGGGCGGGAAGGAAGGTGATGACAAGACAGGGTCCATAATGAAAAGTGGTATCTGTTCGAGACACTAGTAGGGAGATGCCTGAGCACACCTGGCCGTCATATGATCTGACGAGTTGCAGAGATGCTCATCTCAAAACCTGCTGACTATGAAACTTTTTTGGTTGTTATTGTTACCCTTAAATGGAGGCCTGAGTGGGTGTAGCTCTGCAGCCAGAATGAAGAATCATCTCTAACTGTTCATTTCACATGGGCCTTCTCCTCTTATTTTTGCCTGCCCCTCTGCCTTTGCTCTCTGAGAAATGCCCTCATGGCTGAGCAGTAAGTCTGGTTCCCTCCTGAACCCATTAGGAAAGAAGTGGTAGCACTGTCTTCCTACCAGTTGCCAGGCAGGAAGCAGGCCCGGGGTGGGGGAGGGGGGGCCTTTCCATGTCACCCGTGTCACCCACAGCTTCACTGCCTGTGCCCAGCCTTTCTTCCTTCTTCCCAGGCTGGTTCCTGTCAAGAAGAAAGCTGGGCACTTTGACTGCACAGGGCAGTGCCCTCCGTTTTGGGGAATATGCCTGTTTGAGGAGGTGCTGATGGTCTTGAATGAAACAGGGTCCCAGTGGGGAGCGGAGGGAAGTCGGTGGAGGAAAGAGAGATTGAATGGGGAAGGGAAGCTGGTAGAAGTTGGGGCTGCAGGGCACCGAGGACAGGTGGGATTTGGAGCTCAGGAAGCAGCAGGGTTGGCGGGAGTTTTCCTTCATTTTCCCGGTGGGCTGTCTCCAGGGTCTTCGGTGCAGGGTTCCAATCCAGGTACTCCTGGGGGGTCACTGTTTTTGTTCCTTCCCGGACTCTGCCTCCACTGCCCGCCAGTCCAGCTGTGCGCTTGCCTGCTCGCTGCCGTCCAGGGAGTTTCTCTCTGAGCCTCTGGAGCAGAGGCTGGTGACACCGCCCGTCACCCCTGACGCACCTGAAGCTTTGAAGTTAGTGCGAGCTGAAGGCCGAGGGGTGCGTCTTCCCTGTGGCCCGCAGGTATCTCAGCCTGAACCTGCAGGCAGCGAAGCAGTTACTGCTTGCCAAGTTCGCAGCCCCTCCTGGCTTGGGGACCGGAGAGTGCCTGGCTGCTGGGCCCACTTTTGCTCCACGTGCTGCATGCAGTCCGCAGAGGGTTGGGGCCGGCTCCAGGGCAAGCTCGGTGTCTGAGCCCCACCAGGAGGAGGAGGAGGAGGGGCCCCTTTCCTGGCTTTTATGGAGAAAGCGAGCTTTGCTCCAGAGCTGTCGTCTCTTGTCTGCTCCTCTTAAGGCCAGCAGAGTGACAAGCCGGTGGAATCTCCTTGTGCTCAAGAGAAATTCCAGCTGGGGCCGTGAGGGGCTCTGCAGGGCACACAGGACGTGTGAATAGGACGCTGCCTGCTGGCTGGCAGCACTGTGCACTTGAGAGCAGGGGTGCAGACAAGGCTTCCTGGGGGGCCGTGTTCCAGCGTGGGTGTGGCTGTGAGTGTGAGGCACAGTGGGAGCCTGGAATGAGCCACTGGTGCTTCTGGAACTAAGAGCGTTTCTTTACTGCATTTGTCATCCAGATAAAGGGTCTGAAACTGCCAAGTTCCTGTGTTCAGGTCAGCGTGTAACTTTTAACTTAACGTTTCCTTTGATTTTTTCTCCATCTTGTATTTTATAGCCAGAGCCTGAGCCTTCTCGTCGATTTTTTGTTGACCAGTGGGAGCTTTCTGTAAGCCTCCGCTCCAGCAGCCGCCCTGCCTCTCCCTCCTCTGACTTCCTCCGACAGGTAGCGGGCCCGGGGCTTGGCCAGGCTCGCCCTCTTCAGCCTGCACTTTCTTCACCCACACGAACGGCAGCCTGTCTCCTTAGGGGTCCAGTTGTGTGTGTCCGTCATGCATGTGAGGTCGGTAGGCGTCCACCTGAGTTAAGGAGGCTGCTAGCTTCACTGCGGCAAATTCTGTCCCAGTCAACCCATTTTCATTATAGTCCAACTGTATCAAATAATGAGAAAGCATTTTGTAGCCATTAGCTTTTTTTTAACTCCAGACCTCTTCCTATTAATGTCTTATAAAATATGAACCATTGTGTAATTAAATCTCTTAAAGAGAGTGGTGGATACACAGTATTCTGGGTGCCTCTTGAATTGTAATCTCTTAAGGAATGAACTCTGCTATTTCCTGTGATGGAACTGACCCAGCTGTGGACGAGTTTACAGAGAGATTGCAGGGGCTTTTGTCCTTTCTGTTTGTTTCCTGTTCTTGAGCTGGTAGCAGACTGTACAGAATGATACGCATGTGTGGTGGCCACAGTATAAGTCCAGAGAGTGCTACATTTCGACTGTTTCTTAAGAGTGGGGAGAGGAAAACCATCTGCTTTTCATGCCAGAAACAAATAGGACTCGAGTCTCCACCTCTCTTAGGGGTGTGCTTGTCAGTACTGTCACATCGCTGAGAACTGAAGTCGACAGATGCCTTTGCACCAGGTAGCCCTGGGCTATACTTGCTGAGAGTGCTGGTTCTGATGGGAGAGCAGGGTCCTGGCTGAACAGGGAGGACCCTGGGCTTGCCCAGCGTCCCAGCCTCAGACTTGGCATCTGGTCCACGCTCCCACTCATCTGCTGCAGTTTCCTACTCCCTGGCGTCAGCTGTTCGATGCTCAGCTTGGCTGTGCCTGGGTTTCTGTCTGTTCCAGGCTTAAGCTTCCCTAATGTTTCTAATCCAAAGAAGGCTTAGGTCTAAGAGCCACTTGTGTTTCTCGACCACAGATGGGTATAAGCTGTGGAGTTAATGAGTAGATGGCACTATCCTTTGGAAATCGCCTTATTTTAAATCGAAAATATAATTGACTCCTCAGTTCCAGCTGAACCTTGGAGAATTGTTTGCTCACTTGTGCTGCTGTCATTCTTGTATTTACACAGGGTCAGTTTTCCCCTAGAGCATTCCTCTGGTTTGTCCCTGCCCCGCCCAGGACATGCCATTGCTCAGGCTGGTGATTCTCTTACACACGGTTTCGTGTGTTCAGACCGTTTCCTGATGGGGTTGTTGGCATCCCCAGCACAACTGCTCCTGGCATGTTTTGGATTTGGAATTAGAGTGAGGGCTCCTCAGACCCAGCGGGCACACAGCTGCTGAGAGGCGTGTCATACACACTGGGTGTCTGGGCCGTCCGCAGAGGACGAGCTCAAAGCTGGGCTCCCACAGGAAGGTTTGCTATTGAAATTTATAGTTTTCTCCTGCTGCTTTTTCAACATTGCTAGAAAGAGGATTGAAGTGGTTGGATTTTTTTTCTTTTATCTTGTTTCAACGTATAAAGATATAACCCCTCCTGGACTAGAAACACATCCTGGCTTCCACAGCAGCCGTGTCAGCAGTGCCCCAGCTGGTCCGGAAGGCTTGGTCTCAGGGCTCAGGGGAACACAGAAGTCTCCATGGGGAGAACGGGCAGAGAAGGGACCTTCCTGGTAAAGCCCGGGGGCCTCTGGTGCACAGGACAGGGGCTCTGAGTGAAGGAGGTCATAGTGAAGACGGATGTCATCCCCGGTGACACTGGGCTGTTGGCATCTGTTACCCAGGTGGAGAGTCGGCCTTACTTTCTTTCTAAATGAGGAAATAACTCCCCAAGCCCTCTCCCAGGCCCTGGGATGTGCCTTCAGTCTGGTGCCCGCTGCCGTAAGGGAGGTGTTCTCTTAGGTTCTTTGAGGTTCTCTGTGTGTAATCTGAGCCGCTGGGTGGTAGGCCCTTCTCACTCTGTTTGCATCCATCCTGTCGTCCCGCCTCCGCATCCCCCGCACTTCGTCCAGAGGGACATGAGAGACCAGGTTCTCCTTCCTGAATTTCACTGTCTCTGTGGCCATTGCTCCTGCCTGTGCTGACACCGGTGTGTGGACACTGACACCTAGTCCCCTGCTCGTGGGCACTGTGTTGGCATGTTTGTTGCTGCACCTTGTATTCATTTTATACCTTTCAAAGATTTTTGTCCCCTGTCTTCTTAATTTATTTATTTTTTTCCTTCTCATTTCCCCTCTTTCTGGTCGTTTAACAATCTCCAACCAATAGAAGTATATAAAGATGTACACGGGCGGAGTGAGCTCATTGGCTGAGCAGATAGCCAATCAGCTTCAAAGGAAAGAACAGCCTAAAACCCTTCTAGACAAGAAGGAACTGGTAAGATACACTAAGGGCACTGTCTGTCTAGATAAGACAGCTCTGGTGAACAAGCCTGCTTTGTTCTAAGTAGCTCAGTGGCATATGTGGCTGCTGCGTGCCATGTGGTAATTATTTTTTGAGGTTGTCTGAATTTTGTAACTGAACTTCTAGGACTGAAACTGTTGTTTAGAATGTTGTGTGAACAGCATACTCAGTATCTCTAAAGTGATTGCTCTAGAGTCCAGGGCCTGTGCCCATGGAGAACCACGGGAACACCTTCAGATCAGAATCCGTTAAGAGGATTTGGTTTGCTTGTTATGGAATCGTGTAGAACAGACGCAGTGCCAAGTGCTGCATGGGCACCGGAGGCACCGGCCTGCGGTGGTGTGCGGCTCCCGTCCCCAGGCAGGACCGCGCAGGGAGGGTTGTGCGCCCTGGCGAGGGGCCGGGAGGCCTCGCTGACGCGTGTCCCCCCACCCCCCACCCCCAGGGCTCCATGAAGAAGGAGTTCCCACAGAACCTGGGGGGCAGCGACACCTGCTACTTCTGCCGGAGGCGGGTCTACGTGATGGAGCGGCTAAGCGCCGAGGGCAAGTTCTTCCACCGGAGCTGCTTCAAGTGCGAGCACTGCGCCACCACCCTGCGCCTCTCGGCCTACGCGTACGCCCTCGAGGACGGTGAGTCCCTGCGCTGGAGGCTGCACCCAGGCTCAGGGCCCCCGCTGCGTTCTTGCCCTGACGCTCTCTTTTCTGCCTCTCCTGAGCCTTCCCGTCCATCCCCCTGTAGTCTGTGTTTTCTCCCAGACTCTTTCTTATAAATATTTCTGCAGAGTCACCAAGCTGTATCATAGATGACTCAGTGACCATGGTGATGAGAAGGGCATGCGTTTACCTAAATCGTTTCCCTGGCTTCACAGACACCTGCTGTCGTACCTCACGGTGGGATCTTAAGATAAAAGGGACCTGAGGAGAGTAAGTCTTTTTTGTGTTCGCTTTAGAGAAGAAGAATCACAGGCTTATAGAAGCCACATTTCTTGCCTAAGGTCAGTGACAGCACATTGAAACTGTATCCGCTGCCACTGTTCTCAGACCTTGGCTTCCTGAAGGTGCCTGAGTTATGCCCAGTGTCACCCGTGCTCTCTCGTATCAGCATCTCTGGTGAATTGAGAGCACGTTGCCCAGGCCTCAGTCTGGTTACTGTGCTGTTCAAGCCCTGGCTTTTTGTGATATTTGTTGGTTTTATAGTGGAATGACCTTGATAGGGCAGAAGGTGGAGAATTATGCAGACAGGTAACAAAGCCTGATGGAGAGGCGTGTCTGCCGCCTGAAAACCCTTTGGGGTTAATTGGAAAAGGTCACCGGAGACATCAGTGATTCCTACGCCCCTTCCTACAGGAAGCAGAAGGGACCTTATGAGAGGCCGTCTTACTGATTCAACAGTAATGAAAAGACCGAGATTAATAGAAGGGGGAAGTAAATCCTCAGGTCCCTTGCACTGACTGAGGAGACTGTCAGGGGACGTCACACGGGAGAGGGACGCCCTGCGGTGAGGAAATAGTCCTCCAGGCTCTTCGACTAGTGAGCGAGGAGCAGCCAGAAGAGCCGAGTGGTGACCTGAGAAAAGCTGACTCTTACTGTTGTGGCACCTGCTCCTCTTGTTACATTAGTGAAAAGCACCACCCAGCGAGGGAAGAGGTGAGACAATTGTCTATACTGTTAGGTATCAGTATTCCCACACACCTGGTCTTTGGATAATGCCTTTGCTCTCCCTGGATGGGGTTGGCAGATGGAGCCCACCCAGTGTTTCTAACTGTCTGTGAGGTCTGCCTGGAATGATCCCTTCAGGTCCAGCGAATCGATCCACGAGTATTTTTGCCCATAGATTGTACGCCATATTCTCCTGAGGGCATAGATGGTGTAAGAGGGGCCGTCCTGATGGAGTGATCCTGCAGCAGACGGCGTAAGGGAGTGACCGTGGGCGATGGTGCGTAGTGCAGACTGTAACTTTGTGAAGCACAGAGCAGGAGGAGTCCGGGAAGCTCAGGAGGGTCAGGAACGACTTAGCCGTCCTGCCGTGAACTCTGGAGCGTGGTGGGCGAGGGCTCAGCAGAGGGGCGGAGGAGCCGGCATGCCCAGCGAGAGGGCAGCGGAGCCCGGGGGAGTGACCATGGTGTGGGGGCTGGATGAGCAGGCCCACGTGCTTAGGCACGGCCTTCCTGACAGCGTGCCTGACCAGCTCCCCAGACTTCAGCCCAGGTGAACCTTTCCCTCAGCTCCACCCTCCTCAGTGACAGCTGGACTTGGGGAAAGGAGGGAATCTTAGGGGTCCTGAGGGTTTAGCCTCATGAGGTTCAGAAATCTAACAGAAGAGCCTCGGGTAAGAGAGAAAAGGGCAGGGATTGTGGCTCCGGAGAGAGGGGGTTAACCCAGCCCGTGCCGGGCCCTTAACAACATATTGTGACATTTCATCCTCATGACCACCGGAAGGTAGCTAGCTTTATTGTTGTAATTTTACACATCAGGAAACTGAATTCAGAGAAGCTGTAAGTTACTTGTCCAGGTCCACATAGCAGTAAGTGACCTTCGAGGTCCCCCAGGTCCGACGTCCTGGGGTTAGTGCTTCTGGCCCATGGCAACTCCGGCCTGGTCAGTGGGGACTCACTCACTTGAGAGAGGCGTCCAGGTTTTACCCTTGTCCCTTCAGCCCCTTTAAAAGGATGGAGACTTTCTGTTGCCACAGACTAGCTTATTTGCCTGCTGTCACCTCTTAAGACAAGGACTCTAAATCAAACAGTGTGTCACGTCTTTCCTGTCCTCTCGAGGAGAGAAAACACACACCATCCACTGAGGAGGTCTGAAGGGCCACCCTCAGGAGTGACGAGCCCGCTGCCCCCCGCCGCTGCCCCGTGTCTGCTCCCACAGGGCAGCCCAGGGGATCTTAAAGAGACGAGCAGATCTTCCCGGCCTCCCACTGTTCACCCTGACAACCCCTGCGGCACAGGTGGACCCGCGGGCCCCGGGGCTGAGAGCTCTGTGCGTCCTCCCAGCCTGCCCCCCGGCCCCCTGCTCCTGCCTGTCCCCTGCGAGCTGCTCACTTCTCCATTGCACTGACACGCGTGCGCTCGCTGTGTCCTCTGCTGGAGTGCGCCCCTCCCACCCTCACGGGGCAGCCTCCTGTCGCCACACGTTCTTTCCCCGGAGAGGCGGCAGGGCTCCTCTGCCTCCTGACCAGAGCATCTCTGGCTCTGACCTGTCCTGACGGCTCTGACCTGGAGTTGCTGGGGGAAGGAATCTGTGGCCCGTCTGCCTCAGGCTCGCCTCTTAGCTGTCTGTTTTCTCCAGTTCCATCTTCAGTCATTCCTACGTTTATTGTCGAGGTTCCTGAATTTACTTAGACCATCTAAAATCAGTGACTTGACGGGATCAACCACGCTTTGTGGTTGCTTTGTGACGTTAGCGTGGCCAAACTTGCTGATTGAGATGGGCACCATTGTGAAGAGCCAGGCATCCGATGTTCAAGTCCTGTCCGAGACTCGCTAGCGTGGCTTAGCCTTTCTGTGCCTCACTGGGTTTTGAGGATTAAATGAATCAATAGTTGTAAAGCACTTACACTTACAGTGTTTGGCACATGGTAAATGTTAGATGAAAATCAGCCCCTTTTGTTATTAACATAAGAAGGAAAAAGTATCACCAAGTTGGGTTTGGGAAGGGGTTTGAGGTGCATTAATCGAGCAGCTACAGTGCAGGACATGTGATGATGTCTCGTTGATGGATCTCACCCCACGAGACGGTGTGGTCTTCATGCTCTACATGAGGAAACGCGTGCTGAGAGAGGGTCATGTACCACTGAGTGGCTGGGATGGTGCCTGCACTGAGCTCTGGTTTCAGTGTGTGTGTTCCTCCCCTCAGGTTGTGCTGCATTCGTAGAGAAAACAAGGTTTTGGAATTTTCTTTTTACCTTTTGGTCAGGCTCATGGGACTCGTTTTTGAAACCTAAACCTCTTTACTTTATTTATTTAGGATACCGTAACAGAATTCAATGAGGATTCCCTCATTCAATAGGTCAGTCTATTGAGTTGTATTTTTAAATCTAGAATTCTGCTTTTACTAGAAAAAAAGCAAATTAATGGAGGAAAAATAGAAGAAAGGAATGAACCTAACTGTAGTTTTGTAGTTAGGTTGTAGTTTCCTGATACTACAATAAATAAGACTCTTGGTTGAAAGTAATGGAAACCCTGATCTGATTAAAGTTTATGCATAAGACTGACATCTTTCTTGCAGATAGCAGGGCTTGCCCCTTCTCTCTCCCCATCCCTAAGAATCTGTTGGCCTAACTTAGCCACATGCCAGATCCTAGAGCACCATGTCCTGGGGTGGCTGGAGGGAAAGGGGATATTCTGATTGACCTATCTGGGTCATTTATCCACTTCTGTGCTGGGTAATGTTAGGCCACGTGGTTGGCAGCCCCATCAGAGTCATGTGGAGGAGGGAGGAGTGTTCCACAAGACAGGCAAAAAGTAGTGTGTGATCCAAGCACCAGTACTTTTGTCTTGTCCTAATTACATTTTATCTTGGCCAAAATTCACAAAAGTGAAATGGTTTATTACAGATTGTAGAAGGAGATTGTGTCCAAGCTGCTAAAAATAACCCACGACTCAACTCCCCTTTTGAGAGATAAGCAGTGGGGTTGATAGTCCTTTGCTCTCTAGTGCCCCTGACAGGAGGTGTGGTTCTCTGAGTTCTGATTACGTGCCAGGAGCTAGTGGGAAACTCGATTTCAGAAAATATACTATCTTTATGGATATTATTTGAAATTATGAAAGTCCACAAACTCTCTTTTTCTAAAAGATTTATGCAGTGTTGGGAGGGGGAGAAGTACCCATAAAAGGAGAACAGAAGTCAGTTACTTTGAGGGGAAAAAAGAGAGAGAGAATATGTAATCGGATCACCAGGAGAAGGGAAGAAGAATGCCATTCATTTATCTCCTTGACTTTTTTTTTTGAGATATAATTGACGCATCGGTTTATGTGTACTGCCCGTTGATTTGACACATTTATTTGTAAAGTTGTTACCACCACAGTGTAACCCAGGCTAAAACCACAGTGTTACCACCTCCGTGCCATCACAGTTACTAACTCTTTTCTGTGGTGAGAACATTTAAGACCCACTCTTTAAGCAACATTCAGGTATATGACGCAGTATTATTTGCTTTGATCACCATGCTGTGCGTTAGATCCCCAAACTTGTTAATCTTATAACTGGATAACTCCTTGGCCAGTATCTCCTCATTTCCCCTCCCCCCACCCCTACTGGCCACCATTCTACTCTCTGTTTCTCGGAGTTTGTCTTTTTTAGATTCTACATGTAGGTGATATACAGTATTTGTCTTTCTCTGTCTGACTTACTTCACTTAACACAGTGCCCTGAAGGTCCATCCAGGTTGTCATATAGCAGGATTTCCTCCTTGCTCATGGCTGAATAATATTCCATTGTGTATACATATGTGTGTGTGTGTGTGTGTATCTATAGATATATCTATATCTATAGATATATATATGTATATGTATATATCCATCCGTGGATGGAAGCTTGGGCTGTTCTCGTATCTTGGCCATTGTAAATAATGCTGCTATGAACATGGGGGTGCATATATCTTTTACTATAATTAGCGTTTTTGTTTTCTTCAGATAAATACCCAGTAATGGAATTCCTGGATCATATGGTAGTTCTATTTTTAATTTTTTGAGGAACCTCCATACTGTTCTCCATAGTGGCTGCACCAATTTACATTCCCACCAACAGTGCATGAGGGTTCCCTTTTCTCCACACCCTCTCCAACGCTTGTTACCTCTTGTCTTTTTGACAGTAGGCATTCTGTCTGGTATGTGGTGATATCCTGTGTTTTTTTTGTTTTTTTTTGTGGTATGCGGGCCTCTCACTGTTGTGGCCTCTCCCATTGCGGAGCACAGGCTCCAGACGCGCAGGCTCAGCAGCCATGGCTCACGGGCCCAGCCGCTCCACGGCATGTGGGATCTTCCTGGACCGGGGCACAGACCCACGTCCCCTGCATCGGCAGGCAGACTCTCAACCACTGCGCCACCAGGGAAGCCCTATCCTGTGGTTTTAATTTGCACTTCCCTTATGACTAGTGATGTTGAGCCCTTTTTCATCTATATGTTGGCCATTTATATGTCTGTTTGGGGAAACTGTCTCTTCAGTTCCCCTGCTCATTTTTTAATCAGGTTTCTAGGTTCTTTGCTATTGGGTTATATGAGTTCCATATATATTTTGAATATTAACCCATAGTTTGGGACCTTTTTTGTGGTGTGCGAGATCTTTTTTTTTTTAATAACAATTTTTTTCAAAGATTTATTTTTTATTTATTTTATTTATTTTTGGCTGCGTTGGGTCTTAGTTGCGAGATGCAGGATCTTCATTGAAGCATGCGGGATCTTTCTTTGCGGCACGTGGGCTCTTTGTTGTGGTGTGTGGGCTTCTCTCTAGTTGTGGCCTGCAGGCTCCAGGGCACATGGGCTCAGTAGTTGTGGCATGCAGGCTTAGTTGCCCTGCGGCTGTGGGATCTTAGTTCCCCGGCAAGGGATCGAACCTGTGTCCCCTGAATTGGAAGGCAGATTCTTTACCACTGGATCACCAGGGAAGTCCCTATAATAACTTTATTTTATTTTATTTTGAATTTTTGAATTTTAGTTAATTTATTTTTTTATACAGCAGGTTCTTATTAGTTATCCATTTTATACGTTAGTGTATATATGTCAATCTCAATCTCCCAATTTATTACATTTTTTTTTTAAGTTGCGGCATGCGGGACCTAGTTCCCTGACCAGGGATCAAACCCAGGCCCCCTGCATTGGGAACACAGAATCTTAACCACTGCACCACCAGGGAAATCCCCATACTGTTTTGATTACTATAGCTTAGTAATATAGTTTAAAATCAGGAAGTGTGATGCCTCTAGCTTTGCTCTTCTTTCTCAGGATTGCTTTGGTTATTTGGGATCCTTTGTGGTTCCATACAAGTTTTATAATTGCTTTTTGCGTTTCTGTGAAAAATGCCATTGAAATTTTAATAGAGATTACAGTGAATCTATAGATGGCTTTGGGTAATGTGAACATTATAACAATATTCTGATCCATGAACACTGGATATCTTTCCATGTATTTGTGTTTTCGGTTTCTTTCATCAAAGTCTTATAGTTTTCAGTGTATAGATCTTTCATCTCCTTGGTTAGGTTTATTCCTAATAATTTTATTTTATTTTTTGATGCTATTATGAATGGGATTTTTTTCTTCATTTTTCTTCTGATGTTTTGTTGTTAGTGTATAGAAACACAACTGTTTTCTATATGTTGATTTTGTATCCTGCAACTTTCCTAAATTTCTAACAGTTTTTTTGGTGGAGTCTTTAGCATTTTCTGTATATAAGATCATATCATCTACAAACGAAGACAGTTTTACTTTTTCCTTATCTATTTGGAAGCCTTTTTTTTTTTCTTTTTCTTGCCTGATTGTTCTGGCTAGGATTTCCAGTATTGAATAGGAATGGTGAGAGTGGGTATCCTTGTCTTGTTCCTGATCTTAGAAGAAAAGCTTTCAACCTTTTGTTGTTGAATATGATGTTAGCTGTGAGCTTGTCATATATGGCCTTTATTTTGTTGGTACAGTGCTTCTATACCAAGTTTTTTGAGCACTTTTTATCATGAGAGGATGTTGTACTTTGTCAAATGCTTTTCTGCATCTGTTGAGATGATCATATTTTTTTCTCTCTTTCTGTTAATGTGGCGAATCCCATTTATTGACTTATGGCTATTGAACCATCCTTGCATTCCTGGAATAAATCCCACTTGATAATGCTGTATGATCCTTTTTTTTTTTTTTTTTTTTTTTTGGCAGTCCGCAGGCCTCTCACTGTTGTGGCCTCTCCCGTTGCGGAGCACAGGCTCCGGACGCCCAGGCTCAGCGGCCATGGCTCATGGGCCTAGCCGCTCCGTGGCATGTGGGATCTTCCTGGACCGGGGCACGAACCCGTGTCCCCTGCATCGGCAGGCGGACTCTCAACCACTGCACCGCCAGGGAAGCCCTATGATCCTTTTAATGTGCTGTTGAATTTGGTTTGCTAATATTTTGTTGAGAATTTTTACATCTGTATTCATCAGGGATATTGGTCTGTAATTTTCTTTTCTTGTACTGTCCTTATCTGGCTTTGGTAATGATGGTCTCATAAAATGAGTTTGGGAGTGTTCCCTCCCGTTCAGTTATTTGGAAGCATTTGAGAAGTATTGTTAATTCTTCTTTAAATGTTTGGTAGAGTTCACCAGTGAAACCATCTGGTCCTGGGCTTTTCTGTTTTGTGAGGGTTTTATTTACTGATTCAGTCTCCTTACTCAATATTGGTCTGTTCAGATTTTCTGTTTCTTCATGAGATTCAGATTTAATAGGTTGTATGTTTCTAGGAATTTATTCATTTCTACTAGATTATCCAGCTTTTTGGCATATAATTGTTTTTAGCAGTTTCTTACGATCCTCTGTGTTTCTGTGGTATCAGTTGTAATGTCTTCTTTCATTTCTGATTTTATTTATTTGAGTCTTCTTTCTGTTTTTCTGAATTAGTCTCATAAAGGTTTGTTAATTTTGTTTATCTTTTCAAAAAAAAATCAGGTTCATTGATCTATTCTATTATATTTCTGGTTAGGTCCTCTTATTTTAACTTTGGGAATAGGAAAGTTCATTTGTCAAAGGAGCCACTCTCTCCAGATGAGAAGGATGAGTGGAATTACTCCTGTTTCAACAGTTTCTGTAATAGGGTCTATCCTTTAATTTTCTAAAGCCTTGGCTGTAAGTGGGGGGAAAGAAAGAGTCGGGAAAAAACACCCCTCAGTGACTGAATCCCACTACCAGCCTCGTGGGAAAAGCCAAGGTTGGTGTTTTTCAAACTTTTGATCATGTCCACAATAGAACATACATGTTACACTAGGACCCAGAAAACCCAGGTGGACACAGCTGAGCTGTGAGAGATAATCCTTGACTCTGAGGATGCCACAGTGCATGCTGATGCTTTTTATTAGGCTTTATTCTGTTTTGTTTTAGTCACAGTGCACTGTAGGATTTTTGGTTTGTTTTGTGTTGTTTTTAATGCTGATCCTGACCCACTGTGGGTCAGAGCTGCAGTTTGACCGGTGCTGGCTCGCGGGTGCTTGCAGAAGGGCAGCAGGAGGGCCCTAGCGGGTTCATGTTTGGTGCCGCCCCACCCCCGGCAGCCTTCAGGCCACCACCGCTTGTGTTCATTCTTGGTTTCCCCAGAAATGCTCCTCTGGCTCTTCATGTGACCACATCTTTGTTCTGCACACACTGCCACTTTGTTTGCTGGCCCTGCCTTGCAGGCTTCGGTCTTTGCTCCAAGCCCTGATTGGGTGATGGCTCCGTGGCCTCCACACATCCGGGCACAGGGGAGAGGAGGGCCTGGCCTCCCTGGACAAGAAGCCTGGGCCTAGGGAAGGCCGGTGCTGGGGCGAGCGGACGACCGTGCCAAGACCAGGGGTCAAGCTGGGAATCTCAGAGACTTGCTCACCCTCTTCCCCTGCCCCTTGCTGCCTGCAGGTAAATTCTACTGCAAACCACACTACTGTTACCGGCTGTCTGGGCCTGTACAGAGGAAGAGACCAGCAGTGGCCCCTCTGTCTGGAAAGGTAATGTTGTTCGGCCGCAGGGGGTCGGGGGGGGCAGCAGGTGCTGTTTCAGTGTGGTGACAGGTCAGAGTGTGGCCAGCAGGCCCTGAATGGCCACTGCATTGCCTTTCCTGTGAGTGGGAGGGCCTGAGAGATGGTCACAGTCCGATATGGGGAGGGAGCATCTTTTCAAGCCTAATCTAATGTTGGGTTTCAGTAAGTTAATGTTCCAGCACCACCTGAGTTGGATTTGGAAGACCACATCAGACCTTGTCTTCTGCTTACTGTGTAAAAAAAGCCTTTTGCCTTTGAAAATCTCACCCTTCCTGAGAGGAGGACACCAGAAAAGGACTTGGCTAGAAATAAATGCTCTGCAGCCAATTCCGTGAACTTTCTATATTCTGGGAATTACTTAGCTAAGAACCTTCTTTTTAAAAAAAAAAAAAAAAAAGTGAGTGTAATCAGCTCCCGCATCTGTCTTTCCAAGTGACCTGTGTATTCTCTCCGCTCTGTGCCGTGAACTTTCTATATTCTGGGAATTACTTATCTAAGAACCTTCTTTTTACAAAAAAAAAAAAAAAGTGAGTGTAATCAGCTCCCGCATCTGTCTTTCCAAGTGACCTGTGTATTCTCTCCGCTCTGTGGTGTTGCCCTGTGGGCGTGCAGTTGACTGATGCTTCCAGGAGGGCCTCTGCGGACTGCAGAGAGCCTGTGGGGGAAGGGACGTGAGGTGCCTGCGACTCCCGCGTGAAGTGTGCCCTGGCGCAGCTCTGGGTTTCCTGGTGAGGGCAGCAGACCAGCAGCCAGGCGTCATTGTCTCCTGAGATGTGGGTGCTTCACTCAGTCACTCTTCCTCTTCTTGTGGACTTTCCTAGGAGGCCAGGGGACCCCTGCAGGACAGCCCTGCTGCAGACACCAACGGACAGCCCAGCACCAGTGCCAGCCCTGCCGAGAGAACTCCAGGTAGCCTCACTTCCTTGTTTGGCTGGGTGGCGCGTCACTCTCTCGGCCTCTGTGACAAGGCCAAGGGGATGAGCCAGCACCTCCAAAGCAACATTTCTTCAATTGGGCATCAGGTGGCCCAAAACCCTCTGGACTCCTTTTTCATGTGCCAGCTGCTTGCATTCGGAGTCCCCTTTCTCTATGGCCTGTCGGAGGTGCTGGTACAGATCAGAGGGGAGTTTCACTGGCCGACCGTGAGCCAGTAGGGGTGCCGTCTGGTGAGCAGCGTCACCCAGGCTTTGGTACTGTCTATTCAGAATCTCAAATTTTTATTGCTGGAGTCCTGGGACCTGCTCACATCCATCAGATACCTTGGGGGGTTGGCCCAGGCCCTGTCTAGGGAACAGGAGTTCAAAACAGGCTGCTTTTAGCCCTGACCCAAGTGATGACCCAGGGCAGTGGGGCCTTCTTGTAGTCCCTCGCTGTGGGCTCCTTGGATAGAGTGTGGAATTGTGAAAAGGCCCCAAGGTCTGAATGTGTGTCCACCTGAACTGGACATCCTCCTTCCTCTTCCCTGCTCAGGTGTCTAGGTGAGCTGCCACTGCTCTCCCACCTCACCTGTAACCACTGAGGGACATGCCCTGTCCTGGTCATTTTGGGGGCATTTGAACTCCTAACGAGGATCAGGCCCTGATTGGTCCCACTTTCACTAACCTCCTCCTGTGTCAGGAGGTGAGTGCCACCACCCCACATCTAAAAACACATTTGTTCTGGTCTCGAAGGTCAGGAGAAGGAAGGGCTCATGGGCACCAGACTTCTTGTGAAGGATTGTGGTTTTTTCCTTAAAATCACCTCTCTCTACTCCTGCCAAACCAGCCTGTGACATGTGTCCACAGTTCCACAGACGTGGGTGGTCCTGATGCCCTGCACAGCCCCGACAGGTCATAGCCTACGGTCACTGTAGCCAGTCGGAGAGGAAGTCGTCAGGGCCCTGTTTTCACCTGTCACAAGTTTCTTCCCTTCAGAGCAAATAGGTCTCAAGCAGCCGTTTACAAACTCACAGAAATCACCATATTGAAAACTAAAGATTATCAGCTAAGGCCAGAAACTATGGAGAGGGAGTTGGTAGTGGAATTTCCAAAATGGGAGAAGAGAAAAGTTATCCACTGAACCTTCAAATGGGAGGTTAGCAGAGTTGCTCCTTTGCCCGTGCTCCGGAACTAACGCAGGCCCCGTGGTGTTGCTCTGGGGCAGGAGGGCGTCCCAGACGCTGGGCAGCACCCCCGGGTGCAGTGACTGGAGCTTAGGTGAACTCAGCTTCTGCTACTATGTGTGCCCTGATAAAATCTAGGCAAGTTTTTAAGTGCCCTGCAGATTGGACCAACATTTTATAGCCATGTTTAAGCTACAGATGACTTGGTACCCCTTGAGCCCCTTTATAATCTGTCTTTTTCAAGAAGTGCTGACGGCCCTTGCAACAGGGGAGCTGGTAGAGACAGGGCGTGTGCCTTTGAGCAGGTGGGAACCACCTGGGTGCTCCACAAACAACTAAAACGCTCGGCTCTCTCTGTGGGCATCCGAAGAAGCGCGAAGCCAGTGGAGGTCAGGCCTCTCCTGAGCCGAGGCCGTGCGCTCTGTGCAGCTCAGTTTGCCGTCTGCCTGCCTGCTTTGAAAGCATAGTGGGCTTCGGGGTTTTAGCAGTTGTGGAGAATTAAGGGTTCCAGAGAGAAGAGGACCATTCTGTGAAGCAGGGAGAGAAGATGAGAGCTGGGGTTGTGGTGACAGAATCAAAGTCCTGAGGACCTTCTTGATTCTGAGGGTGATGCGCCTGTCACAGCATGAGGGGTTCAAGATGTGAAGCCCAGTTGGAGGTGCCCTGTGGGCTGTGGCAAGGCCAGCACCCAGGGCCGCTGGGGTCCAGTGAGTCCCTGCCTCTGGAGACCCGAGCTTTCCGAGAGCGTGGCTCCGAGTGGACGTGCCGCGGAGCACCAGCACTTCCCCTTCGTAGAACAGGAGCAGCGTTGTGGGTGTATGTTCTAGCTGGCAGGAAATTGGTTTCTTTTTCTCCTTTAATAAGGATTCCCTTCTTTAAATCCCAAACCAAAGCTTTGATTGGTTAACTAGAACTTCCTTTTGAAAAGCTTCAGAAAAACTCAGATGTTTCGGGGCTTCAGAAAGTGTGTTGTGGACGGCTGTGGTCAGGCTGGTTCTGGGCACGTCCCCTGGGCTGCGCTCTGAGCAGAGCGAGTAGTACGTGGAGCACGGTTCCCGCCCCAGATCCACGCCCCCCGGAGGTCGTCTGGAGGAGCCGTGACTGTGCTGGGCGCCGCTCTGCGCCCCCTTCAGCTTGTGGCGTTTCCCTCTTCTCCCTTATGTTCTTCTCTTAAACCAAAACGACTGCTGTCGCCAAAAAACAAACAACCCGTGAGTTAGAACCTGGTCCGGCGTCATCTGTCTCTGGCCCCCTGGCCTGCAGCTGCTGCCTGATTTAGCATCTTTGTTTGTAATGTGCTTTTAATGTAGAAACCCTCTTTGCTGTTCTCAAAATCAGTAATTGCTTTGTTTCCAAGCTTCTTATACTTAGTGCTGCAGGTCAGTGGACCTGGCACAGATTTTCTTACCCTGGCCTCATAGTACCTGCCCTGACTTGAGGAAACATTTGGATAACAACAGGCAGAAAAAGAAAACCCCCAGCAGGATGTTTTACCCTTAAATACAAGACCCTCAGTTGAAGGTTTTTAGATCCTTTTTTCATCCAGAGGTCCCCTTTGCACCTCACATAGTGAGTAACCAGAACTGAAGTGTACAGGCATGGGGTATCATAGGGAACAGAAGAGCTTTGCTTCCAGTACAGGTGACAGACATAGGATGGGAGAAAGGCTTCATTGTCATCTTATGGAAAGAGGATCTTAACATAAAAGGCTGTCTCGCTGTGGCTGGTGCATGCCGCGTCCCCAGACACACTTGCACGGTCACCCTTGGGTTCCATAGTTTGGATGCTGAATGAGCCATGAGGAAATGCAGGCATTTCCCACACCAGCTAGAATAGCCACGCGCAGTACAATCCTGGGTTCCTGCCGTCAGGAGGATCTTCCCACTGCTTCCCAAGCCCTCTTCCCTTATAGGCATTTCTGGAAAACCTATTTAGAAAAGCAAAGAGAATTCCGAATCCAGCTTCACTCTCCAGCCCCACCCCAAGAGTCCAGGTAGACGGTGATGTGTGAACACATATATATACACACATGTGTTTGCGCTGGCTTAGTTTCATGTCTACAAGTACACGTTTATATGTTGTGCCCTAAGTGGTAATAACAATACTAGTGAAGCTTCCCCAAGCTTCTTGTCCCTTGGCTCTGGCTTACACTGGGGACCATGCCACGGACCTGGCTTAGTGTTCCCGTCAGGCTTTGGGGAGAGCAGAGCAGCCAGGCGCCCGGGGGAGGTGGGGACCACGGGGGCAGTTGTCCCCGGACATGAGCAGTGCACACTCCCCACCCCAGAAAGGTGACTTAGACAAAGCTGGGGAGCGGGGCTCTCGCTCAGGAACCCCAGGGGACCACTTCGCTTCCAGGCGTGGGTCTGTTAGCACAGCTCCCTGCTGTCTCTTGGTGTTCAGTGTGTCTGTAGGACAGTGGAATCCTTAGTCTCTCCTGAAAGGGGCCTCAGCATGGCCTTCAAGGCCTGGCCAGTGAGTTAAGGGGTTCTGCACCCACTTTTCCTGATCTGTTAAGCTTGAGGTAGAGGGTGGGGGCAGGCAGCAGGCGGGTCCCCAGGAGCGGTACAGAGGCCAGAGCTGTGCCAGGGACGGTGCCTGCCGGCCTTCCTGCCGTGAAGCCTCGCCTTTGCCTTCGTCTCTGACCTGTGCTGTTGTGCGTTTTGGTGTGTTTCTCTGTGAGTTGTTTTTATTTAATTGTGTAACTTTGTTTTTCCGTTATTGTGATGCTTTAATTTGTTTCACAAGTGTTACTGCTCTTACTTCAGAGAATAAATTCCGAACAGTCTTCAGGTTTCTGAGTGTTTCTTTTCCTCCCCTTTTTCCTGATTGGAGGGTGGGGAGGGGTCGCTCAAGCAGGTCTCAGGAGTGGGCGTGAGACCACGGTACCTCAGGATTCTCACTCCTGGGCTGGGCTCGGGAGAGAGCATAGGTGTATTAAAATGGGGAAACAGGGTGTTTATACCTAAAATACAGGTTCCCATTAGTGGAAGGGCCCCTGTTTGAGGGGGGCATGGTGGAAGACATTTTGCTTCCTTGCTTGGAGGAAGATGCCACCTGTGTCCCCCATTCCGTCATCCTGCATGAGGGCCCTGAGGCGGGAGCAGGTGAAGGAAAAAGCTCTCCGTGGAGCCTGCCTCTGCCTGAGCCCAGGCCGTGCCCTCCTCTTTCCGACTAGCTGGTACCGTGGGGAGCTTGGGTGCCTCTTCGCTGCCGTGAGGCTTTTGCCTGGCGTCAGGGACGGTCCTTGCTCTGTCCTCCCGCTCTGTCTGTTTCTGTGACCTGGACACAGAGGCAGGGGGTCCAGTTCTGCTTGGCTGCTCGAGCCTGGAGGGCTGAGCCCCCCTTCTCACACACACTGTGACCTTGGCAGCGGGGCCTCTGGTGCCGGCTGGCCCGCCGACCACAGGGACACAGCCGTTTGGGTGCTGAATGGGGCCAGGAGAGGGCACATCGGAGGGGGGTGCTCAGCGCCATTCTGTGCCCACCGTGCTCTAGGTGATGGCAGCCTGGTGTGAGGCGGCCCCCTTGGGTCCCTGCGCAGCCACAGCACCATCACTGAGTTGGGAGTTGGTCCTGGCAGGGAGAGCGCCTGCCTCTCCCGGCCTGCTCGCCGCCCTCCCCCTTCTCTGAAATCAGTCAGTCTGGTCTGTCCTGGGCCCTGCAGAAGGCTGGGAGGAAAAGGAGTCGGGCTGAAGACCCTGGAGAGCTCCCTCTGGGTCGAGTTTCTTTCTGAAACTTGAAGCCCATTCTCTTTTTTTCTCATCGGTTCCCTGGCCCTTCCCTCACTGGGACATTGCCCAGGAGG